CCATCATTTCTTAATCATATTGTTGGTCATGGGCGATGGGAAAGATATTAGTTTCAAGAAGATAAAGAGATAGGTGAGGCCACTATGGGTGATAAGTTTCCTCGCCTTTATAGGGTTTATCCTGATTGAAACTTATCTATTCACTCTTGTATGGTTTTGTCTCCAAATTCTTCATCATGGATTTCAAACTTCAATTTCAAAAGGACTTTGAATAGAAGAGAAAGAAGTGATTTCATTGAGATGGTTTTGTCTCCAAATTCTTCATCATGGAATTCAAACTTCAATTTCAAAAGGACTTTGAATAAAAGAGAAATAAGTGATTTCATTGAGATTGTGGAATTATGGGACATGTAAACATTGACGAGACTAAAAAGGATAGAAGAAATTGGAAATTGGAAGCTCCAAGCAATTACTCTTGTAAATCCTTCTATGAGTGGTTCCTTTAAATCTTTCAAGATGATATGGAAGATTAAAGTCCCTCCCAAAGTTCAAGTCTTTTATGGGCTTTAGCCCAAGGCAAAATCAATACTAAAGATATAATTCATAGAACACATCCGCCAATGTGCCTATCTCCATTTTGGTATGTGATGGGTAAAAAAAGTGAGACTGCAAATCACCTCTTCCTTGGTTGTTCTATGGCTTCAAAACTATGGCTACAGTTTGGAAATAATCTATATCTTGGGCTATCCCAAATTATTGTGAGACTTTACTTATTGAGAACGTTTTTACTTTCAAAGAGGAAAGAAAGCAAAATCACTTTGGAAATGTGTCGTTTCAACTCTTATATGGCAAGAAAGAGATAATCATATTTTTTGGCAGAAATGTGATGATAACAATAAGGTGTTATAAAATAGGATTAGACTTTTTGCTTCTATTTGGGCTTCGATCTCAAAAGAATGCAAGGATTTTTCTTTTTCCTTTATTCATCTTGATTGGGAGGGGGTTTTAGGCCAATTTTGTATAGTTTGCTTGCTTTTACATAGGGAAGGAAACATTAGTCATTCACTTGTATAGATTTGTCTCCCTCATTGGTTTTTTAATATTTTTGTAAATCTCTAATCCCAGATGTACCTACCTCAATCTTTTTTAATATATAGTTTTATCATTTCCTAAAAAAATAAATGTTGAAGTGGAAGCTTGAAAACGGTGTTATTTTTTGTTTTATTCATGCGGTGTCATTTTGGAGCATGGCGTAGATAAGATCCTGATCGTCGAAAGCACTCAAATCCAATGGTTGAAAATTGGCTGCTTGGTCAATGGTATTTAAACACAATTTTTTTTTTGTAGAATCAATGAGAGAGTGTGAGAGTCTTCGATTGAAAACTTTCTTTGTGGGTTTTGCGGCTTCTTCTTGATAGATCTTTGTAACTAAGAAGGCTGAGTGGTTAGGATATAATCATTCTTTAAGGGAGTTTATTCTCTTGTTTAGAGGGTTCAGGGTGAGGTTCTCTAAGGGTTTTAGTTACAGGCTGATCTTGAATCAAGGGTACTGTTGTGATCTTATCATTGTGGGTTTGTAATTGAAAATTTCTTGAAATAATAATAATGCAGCGAGCTCCTCCATAGCTGGAGCTCAACGTGGATGTAATTTATCCAAAAGGATAATTGAACCATGGTAAATTCAGGTGTTGTGTTTTGTGATATGTTTGTGTGTGTGTTTAGTCATATAGGATTGTTCACAACAGTGGTATAAAAGTCAAGAGGCATCAAGATTGAGTGATTTGGTTTGTCACCGATCAATTTGAGGGAATTCTGGAATTTAGGGTTCGTCAAGAATTTTGGGGCTTTCCTAAATTGGGTCGTTCCTTGGCATTCTGGTTCTCAGATTGACGATTCAAGGTGTGAAATCATCAATTTGAGAGAGATCTTGGAGATTTAGGGGCGAATTTTTGGGGTTAAGTTCGGGGCTTAGATTAAGACAATCCTTAAACATCACTTGCAAACAACATGACCACCACTCGAATGGAAATCGTTCAATATGATGGAAAGATAGATTTTGGCAGTTGGAAGAAGATGAGAGCTCTTCTCTCTCACAACAAGGTGGCCATCGCACTGGAAAAAGATGCGAAGAAGTGGCTAGAAGAAAAATTAAAGAAGAAGGAGGAGATCGATGAAGAGGCATACAACCTCATCGTAATGAACCTATCAGGCAGCGTACTAAGGAAGGTGGATGGGCTAGAAACTCCTCTAGCCCCATAGGGAAAACTCAAAACCTTGTATGCATTACAATCAGCACCAAATCTTGTGTTCTTGAAGGGTGCTTTATTTTCTTATAAAATGGATAGTACTAGATCTATTGAGGATAACCTAGATGAATTTTTAAAGATGACATTAATCATGAAAGGGACAAACCAAGAACTAGGTGACACTAGTTTAGCAATAATCTTATTGAATTCCCTAACTGATGAATATCTAGTTGTAAAGAATGCATTGCAATATTCTAGTACTGTACCAATTTTTTCTGTAACAAAACAGGACACTTGAAGAAAAATTGCTTTGAATTGATCAAGAAACAAGAACATGGAAATATAGAAAGCAAGCCTTTAGTAATAACCAAATTGAAGATCCTGAAGTCCTTACAATGTCTACATTAGACAGTGCTAAGGAGTGGGTCTTAGACTCAGGTTGTTCATTCCATATGAGCCCAAATAGGAACTGGTTCCAAGAGTTTCAACCACATGAAAATGAGATTGTACACATGGGGAACAATTAGGCTTGTAGAGTAAAGGGCACTAGTAGTATAAACCTAAGACTGAATGATGGGAAATTGATAAAATTGACCAAGGTTAGGTATATCCCAGACTTAAAGAGGAACCTTATCTCTTTAGGGACCCTAGATGAGGCTGGATGTTCCTATAGGGCTGAAAATGGTTGCTTGCATGTGTATAGAAACCAGAATTTAGTCCTCAAAGGAGAAAGGAGAAATGGTCTTTATATCTTGTGTGGAAATTTTTACCCTGATTGTTTTAATACTACATTGGTTTCTACTAATCTTATTGTGACAGAAAAATTGCATCTTAGGATAGGTCATATGAGTTAGAAGGATATGGATATTCTGAAGAACCAGGGGATGTTTGGTAAAGATAATGTCTCTACCTTAAAATTTTGTGAAAATTGTATCTTAGGAAAACAACACAGGGTGAGTTTCACAAAGGGAACCCATCTTGCCACAAACTGCCTAGAATACTTGCATTCAAACCTATAAGGACCTAAAAGAGTTAGGTCCCATTGGGGAAATAGCTATTTTATGTCCATAGTTGATAACCATAGTAGAAAAGTTTGGGTTTATCCCCTAAAAACTAAGGACCAAGCATTAGCCAAATTTAAAGAATGGAAACTGTTAGTGGAGAACCAACTAGACAAAAGGGTTAAGGCCTTAAGAACAGACAATGGGTTAGAATGTTGTAATGCTGAATTTGAAAAATTCTGCATTGAACGGTATCCTAAGGCACAAGACAGTTACTAAGACCCCTCAACAAAAAAGGGTTGCTGAGCGTATGAATATGACCTTATTGGAAAAGGTTAGATGTTTATTATTCACATCAGGCTTGCCTAACACCTTTTAGGGAGAAGCCTTAGTAACAGCAACCTATTTAGTAAATAGAAGCCCATCAAGTGCCATTGATTTTAAATGTCCTGAAGAAGTATGGTCATGTAGGAAACCAGACCTGAGTCATCTAAGAGTGTTTGATTGTGTTACTTATGCACACACTATAGGAGGGAAGCTAGACCTTAGGTCCACCAAATGCATATTTCTTGGCTACCAAGAAGATACCAAAGTCTACAGATTATGGGATAGGGAGTCTCCAGGTGTGAAAATTATTATAAGCAGAGATGTTGTGTTTAATGAAGGGGTATTCCCCTGCAAAGCTACCTCTAATGATGCTGGCCCCACCAATAATTCTAAAATTAACTCTGATCCAATGGATAATACCCAAACTGAGGTGGAGCAAATAGAGCAGCAGCTAGAACCTCCATAACTAGACTCGAAACCACCACCAGCTAGAAGTAGAAATGGACCTTTCTGACTCTAAACAACATGGAGAAAGAGCTGCAAAGGAAATCACAGGATCTCAACATGAAAATTTTCAACATTACCAACTTGCAAGAGATAAGACCAGGAGAGAGGTAAGGCCTCCAGCCAGATTTTCATATGCAGATCTAATTTACACTGTATTACTTGAAGGTACAGAAGTTCAAAGATCAGAACCTGACACATATGAAGAAGCCATGAAGTGCAAGGATAGAGCCAAGTGGAAAGCTGCAATGGAAGAGGAAATGCACTCCCTTGAGGTGAACAAAACCTGGTCTTTGGTTCCCAAACCTGGTCTTTTTGTTGTACATTAATGTAAATGGTTATTCAAACTAATAGATGGCATTACAACCTCTGATCCCCCTAGGTATAAATCCAAGCTAGTAGCCAAAGGCTTTATCCAAAGGGAAGGAATAGACTTCAATGAAGTCTTTTCTCTTGAAGTGAAATATAAAACCATTAGGCAAATGCTTTCCATTGTTGCCCACATGACTTAGAAATGGAGTAGTTGGATGTAACCACTGCATTGCCTCATGGCAACCTAGAGGAGGAAATTTATATGTGCCAGCCTGTTGGGTTTGTAGATTATAGAGTGCCTAATCATGTATGCATGTTACACAAATCATTATATGGACTTAAACAGTCCCCTAGGCAATGGTACAAGAGATTTGATACCTTTATTGTGAGCTTAGGATTTAAAAGAAGTAGATATGATAGTTGTTTCTACTTTGCTTCTAATAATGATTTGCCTATATATCTATTGCTTTATATTGATGATATGCTGTTGATTAGTAGATCTAAGGCCAAAATACATGATTTAAAGCAAAAATTCAATTCTGAGTTTGACATGAAGGATCTAGGAAATGCTAAAGAAGATCCTAGGGATGGTTATCACTAGAGATAGGGGAAACAGTGGGCTAAAATTAATCAACAATCTTATCTTAATAAATTAGTAACCAAATAGGGAATGGCTGAGTCTAAAGTGGTCTCTATACCCTTTTCTAGTCATTTTGTACTAAGCAAATCTCAATGTCCTAAAATTGAGGGTGAAATGATAAAGATGAGTTATGTCCTATATCCGAATGTAATTGGTGCTATAATGTATGCTATGATAAGCACCAGGCATGATCTGTCATTTGCAATCTCTATGCTAAGTAGATTTATGTCCAACCTTGGTAGTGAGCATTGGACTGCCTTGAAATGGGTTCTAAGATATATTAATAGTTCTTTATGTGTTGGCTTAGAATACTATAAAAGGAATGCTTCACTTGATCTTGTTGGTTTTGTAGATTCGGATTTTATAGGTGATAGAGACACCAGAAAATCTACAACGTCATACTATTTTACTCTTGGTGGAAACTACATCAGCAGGAAATCACAATTACATCCTATTATAGCACTCTCTTCGACAGAAGCAAAGTACATGGCAATAGCTGATGTGTTTAAAGAGGTTGTTTGGCTTCAAGGGTTGATGACTGAGGCACATCTAGCAGATGGGAAGGTTACAATTCACTCAAATAGTTAGAGTGCTATTCATTTGAGTAAAAATCTGGTATACCACGAGAGAACAAAGCATGTGGATGTCCATTTTCACTTCGTGAGAGAGCTGGTTACATAAGGGGTGATTGACTTAAAGAAGATTGCCACGGAAGACAATCCAACTGACATGGGCACAAAAATCATAACTCCAGCCAAGTTCAAGCACTGCTTGAATTTGTTATCGGTAAAGTAATCTGGAGAGCCTAAAGCTATAAGGGAATTGGACTGAGCAAGCTGCACTAATAAGGTGTTTTCAATGCTTCCAAGGTGGAGATGTTGAAGTGGAAGCTTGAAAACGGTGTTATTTTTTGTTTTACTTATGCAGTGTCGTTTTGGAGCATGGCTTAGATAAGATCCTGATTGTCGAAAACACTCAAATCCAATGGTTGAAAACTTGCTGCTTGGTGATCAACAGTATTTAAACACAATTTTTTTTTTTTTTTTTTGTAGAATCAATGAGAGAGAGTGAGAGTCTTCGATTGAAAACTTTCTCTATAGGTTTTACGGCTTCTTCTTGATAGATCTTTGTAATTAAGAGCGTTGAGTGGTTAGGATATAATCATTCTTTAAGGGAGTTTATTCTCTTGTTTAGAGGGTCCAGGGTGAGGTTCTCTAAAGGTTTTATTTACGGGTTGATCTTGAATCAAGGGTACTATTGTGATCTTATCATTGTGGGTTTGTAATTGAAAATTTCTTGAAATAATAGTAGTGCAGCGAGCTCCTCCATTTCCAGAGCTCAACGTGGATGTAACTTATCTAAAAGGATAAGTGAACCACGGTAAATTCTGGTATTGTGTTTTGTGATCTGTTTGTGTGTATGTGTGTTTAGTCGTTTAGGATTGTTCACAACAATAAAAATAAAAAATGATGCACAGAGATCCCATTAAAATGTAAAACACAGTCAAATCAAACTAGCTCATCTGAAATAACCATACTGACAAGCAAAAATTCCATTATCCACATATTACAAGGGTAGACCAAAATGATGCCCGTTACAATAAAAGATCAATATTGCTAATTTTCAGCTAATGTTGACAAAAAAAGAAGATTACACAGTTTGATCAGTACATTTGAAAATACTTTATGTTTGCTTTCGTTATCAGTTCTATATTTCTATGCAAACAAAATAGGAAGCTTGTGCCATGGTGATTTAAAGGTGACTATCCATGACCCCAGAAACATTTGTTTGCAACTTCTGCCAAAACCCAGAAACAAAATAGCAAACTTTGCCCCTTTTAAAATTCCAGGTAGTCTTTCATGCTTAGCTAGGTAAAAACATATTTGAATCTTTAAATGAAAAAAATAAAAAAACAATTACATTATATGAGAACCTGCAAATGCTTGATGAAAGTCGAGAGAGGAGTCAGTGAATGAGGTAAAAGTTATTCCCAAAAATAACGCAATTGATCCGATGTCATCTAAAGTAAAATGACCACAAATAATCGAAAGCCTTAAACCAACCAAAATAATTGTATGGGAAGACTAAATCACCGTTTAACGAAGTAAAATCTCTGGAATGAAGAATCACTTGTAACTCTCGGGGGCCATTCCCTGACGCCGGCCAGAGACTCCCCCAGAGCTCACTCTCGTTTCAAGCCGCCGTATGTTCACTGCCGCAAAGGCGCAGACCAGCCACCTGGGATTTCGTTTGAAGCCGCCGAAGTCGTTGTAGCCCTGATGCGAGCCGCCCTTCGCCGCTGCAGGTCCGCCACTTTAGCCCAGCAGCTAGCCAAGAGTTTCCAAATGTAAGTTCTCAGAATGAGAAATTGTCAAAGTGTCTGTTAGTTCTCAGAATGAGAAATTGTCAAAGTGTCTGTTTGATTCCTATGTGTTAAACGTACGGTGCCGTGAGCGATGTTTAGAAATATCTCCTTATAGATTGTGATAAACATATCAGTTTTTTAGTTTAATATTAAATCTCCTATTGATAAAATCTGTGTGCCACTGAAGAGAAAATAAGAATAGATGCTACTGACAAATCACTAAACTCTTCCATTTGTTTATCTTGAAGATGGACCAATTACTTGTAATGGTTCAAGCCAAAACCTATGCGTAACTTATAGTTTTAGCTTAGTGATTGTCAAATGTATGGTGTTTGCTTCCTTCAAAGTTCAATCTTTATTGAAACTTGCTGAAGTTGTGCCATGGACTCTGTAGGCAAGTAGAATTGAACACATACTGTTTTGGCCCCTATAAATTTTATAAACCTTTGGGTAAAAACCCGGGGCCAGGGACTCCCCAGCCCCCTAATTGAATTCTCTGGTCGCGGCGGCCCCCGCGTTTTGCCATCCCTACTAATAAAGGGGTTAGTTTATATTATGAGTAAGGGATCACTGGTTGTGATTGAACCATTAGAGGTAAGACTACTATTATGAGACATCCCCAGGCTGGCACCGATTCGAAGCTGATAAAGATTTTGATGTTTTTAGTAAACTTGAACAAAATGATTCTCAATTGCGACAAATACTGATACTTGTCATGAATCCAGTCGCATTAATCCCAAACCTAGTAGAGAGTCCACAAAATAAAAGTCAAGTATTTTAGTTTCAATACAGTTCGAGATGTACTGTTTGGTCGGTTCAAAAATTCTGGTGGTAGTGGTGCTCTTGCTTCTCTGTAGTTCCACTGCATACATTGCTTCAGCTGAGATCACTTTGCACACCAACAATTGGGCTGTCTTGGTTTGCACTTCTCATTTTTGGTAACTCAGTCATTTTCATCTTTTATTTGTTTTTATTTTATTTGAATTTGTTTATTATAGATTCAAATTTACAGAAAATAAAGCATATCCACTTCATTACTTTGATTATAACAATACCCATGTTTTCATTTCTGTTCTGGATGTATAAAACTTAAGTTCTTGTTCTTGTTCTTGTAGTTTCTTCAATCACAACTTCTTTGAGTATTGTTGATAAGTTTTTAGGGTAGCAGAATCATTGATTCTGGTATCCCGTTACAGTAGCCTTTCCACTGATTTACCTGATGCTTGTTTTAGTTGGATTCATAAATTACTGTTTTGTGCTACTGTTATGCTAAGTTGTGATGATTTTTAAAAAACTTGGGCCATTGGAGATATTGCCAGTTGTATTGAATGTGGTGTCTTGTTGTTCAGGTTTAATTACTAGCATATGGCTAACACATTGTCCCTGTGTAGGTAAGATTTTTTTTTCTTTCCTTTTCTTGTCTTTAATAATGCCATTGCGCAAATTTATTACCTTTCCCTCTTTGTTTTAGTTTGGATTCATAAATTACATGGTTTGTAATGCTAGAAACAAGGATCTTGCCCAAGTGTTCAACAATGAAAACCACGGAACTAACTTGTATGGTGATAATGTTGAGGTGAGTTTTGTCCCTTTTGACTCCTTGCATAGGTCAAAGACTTCCCTAAAGAAGAAAGAAATTGTTTTGAATAATTTGTGTGTTCTCATTGTGCATGTTAAAGAGGTGGTCAATGAAGAATGTCATGTACTCTGTTGATGCTCCAAATCAGAATTACAATTTGGAAAATCTTGGTCAGCGGTTGGACCTTAAAATTTCAAAATAGGTAATCGAAATATGATTGAAAGATGGAGTAAATTTGGGTGCAAAGTTCTCTTTATTTCTTATGGAAAAATAAAAGATTAAAAAAATATCCATGCAATGCCTCCAAAAGAAGACTGCAGTCCCCTTCCTGCCCCCAATTTTCTTAATCCTGCTCAAGTATTGTAGAAACACATGTTCTGCTTCCAAAGAATAATAAGATGAGGGATTTTGATAATTGTCTGACCTTGATTTGGCCAAACTTCAATCACTTGGGTAGACTACCGGGGTTATGAAATAATAATAGAGAACTTCTTGAGAGTTTTGACTGGGCTCACAAGACTGTTTTTCCTGGATCAAAGCGTTTTCTATACATGACTGGGCATGGGGGAGATGAGTTTTAAATTTTCTGGACTCAGAAGAGCTTCAGAGTCAATGATCTAGCTGATGAAGAAAGTGGTGTGAATATTCTGCTTCTTTGCCTTTCACCTATAACATTAACATTTCAATTATAAAAAGTTAAATTAATTGGATATATAGAGGCCGTAATGGTATCTAGTAATGTCATTTCTGTTGGAACTAGATAGCTGCTTGCATAAGTTGAAACTATGAAATGGTATATGACTAATATAATATTGTATGCATTTTAAATTTCTATGACAATCCTAAATAGGAATTTGCATAATATTTGTTATAATTTTTGGTGACTACTGAAATATATGATTCCTGATCAATAATGTGCCTATATGTTGTTCATCATACCAGATAACTAGATTCGATTTGTTGATAATGGTGGACACTTGCCAAGCTGCGACTCTCTTCTATCAGGTTATCTAAATAATAGGGTTTGGTTTTCACAGAAATCATATTATATAACATCTAGTCATAGTTATACATTATTTGATGTTTACTCCCTTATCTGGATGATGCATATGGTTCTGAGAAGGAAAGATATTAACCTGGATAATTATTCAAGACTCACATTTCATTGCTGATATAGGTGTGTCCTTACCTCTATTATTTCCCTTCTGTATTAGTTATATCTATGTACAATGTATGTCCCATGCGGTGATTTATTGTTTATTAGCATGCCAGTCAAATTTTTCCAAGCTCTGCAGCACATACCTTGGAATTTTTCCTGGAAAAGCTATATATACTAGGACAACTATTGAGTATCATTTTTTTTTTATTTTTTTTATAGTTGTTTGTGCACTTATGCTATCAAGAGATGCATCTTTTTTGTCCATACAATCAGATTGCCGCTATCGATATTTTGCATTTGATTGATGCACTTCTGGATCAAGTTCGACCTATGAACATGACATTCAAAGTCTTTCAACCTTGTATAGAGACTTTTAAATCTGCTTTATGTATTTTGATGCTGAATGAACTTTTTTTTGTCTCCCTTGGATTGAACAGCTTCATACTCCAGTTGTTCTGGCTCTTGTAAGTAGCAAGAAAGGGGAG